TCTTTATACTATGGCAGTAATGCAATGAACATTCATATGTGTTCATATATTATATTCACACACATATACACATACACTTCTGCAGGAATATCCTTAGGCAAATTCCTAGCAGTGGTGTTGCAAGTTAAAGGGACAGTTCCATAGCTTGAAATTTTACATTTTGAAATATACTGCCAGTTGCCATGTGGTCTGCCCTTGTGAGCTAGCTTGGGCTTTCTCACAGCATGGCAGACTCAGGGCAGTAAATTCACTTATATAGTGGCCAATGGTTTCAAGAGCAAGAATTTCAGCTAACAAGGTAGACATTGTATTGTCTTTCTTGACTCAGCCTCAGAAATTATACAACATTGTTTCTACCACAGAATTCTGCCCAGATTCCAAAGGAAGGACACAGACCCTACCTCTTGACAGATAGCGTCAAAGTCCCACTGTAGATTTTCTCATGGGATGGGAGATATTGCTCTGGCTACTTTTGAAAGAACAACCTTCCCCATTCTCCAAATGTTTGCATAAATTTGTACTTCCATTGGGTGTATATTAGAGTACCCATTTCCCCATGCCCTTTGCAAATCTTATTGGTGAAAAATGATTGCCTCGTTACTAGTTTGATTTACATTTCTTAGTAACATTTGAACAGATTTTCATATCTTTTATTGGCCCTTTATATTTCTTTTCCTATATATAAACTTTTCTATTTGATAGCTTTCTATTCATTTTAAAGGCTGCTTGCCTGTGAATAAAATGATCCCTTTCTCACTACATTATAACAATGTTTTTGATGTTGCTCTTCCTCTTTTTTTTCTTTTTTTATGCTCTTCCTCTTTGACTTTTTTTTTGTCATTGAAATTTATAACTTGTTTCTAGTCATATTTATCAATATTTTCTGTTAGAGTCCCCGGGTTTTATATCTTGCTGAGAAAATGTTTTAAATGTTTTTTAAAAAATACCCAAGTTTTCTTCTAGATTTTGGTCATTTTAGCCTCTAATCTGTTCCATACAATGTTTATGGACTATATAATACTGTACCATCCTTGGTTTCCTGAAAATAACTCCCTTTGGCCAATAGACACTATTTTTTATGTACTATTGGATTCTAGTTGCTAATATTTTCCCCCAGATTAAAGTTTTTCACCAGTGCCAGATTTCCCCCAAACTTCTCATTACTTGTGACTCTATTTTAGTCTGCAAAATTTCGTTTTTCTCTTATTTCTAATTATTCCCTACATATATTAGTTTATTTCTCGGTTTGTCTAATTCTGATTTATAGTGTTTTGTATCATTTCTTAATATTTCAAACTCCTTTGGTAACACTATATTAAAATTTGTATCTGTTTTGTGTGCATGCATTCCTGGTATATTTTCATTATCTATACAGATATGATTTACTCCTCATCCACTTGTTTCTAATAATAACTTTGTCTGAGTCTCAATCTTAATGCTATTCTGTTGCTGGATTTTATAGGTGCTTATTTTTCCTAAACGTCTAGATGTGGTTTGCTAGTTTCTCTAACGTCACAGAGCTCCCTCTTCTGTTGCTTTTGTTGAAGTGCTCAAAAACATGGCAGCTTGCTTTCTGAGTGGCCCATTCCCAAACTGGTCTGACTGGTCTGGTTATCCCTTTCCTTGCCTCTGTTGTTTCTTTCCTGCTCAAATCTTTCTTTTCTCTCTCTCTCTCTCTCTCTCTCTCTATCCTACTCAAATTTGATTACACTTCTAGCAGTTTCTCCTCAGGGTAGGGCCCTTTCCCAAAGGGGAGCTGTGCCTGGTTGGTTTGAAAATTACTTGTATCCTCGACTATTCCAGTGCCTTTCAGAATCTACTGAGGCTCTCACCAGCTATTGATTTGGGCAAAATCCCTTCCAGTTTCAACTGTTGTTCTCAAATCAGCCCAGATGGCTTTCCAGTAACTACATCTTGGCTATATTAGGGTTCTCAATTGTTTTTCCCTGCTTTCTCCAACACAGATGGTGCTACCGGACAGGTCTTGTGGCATTTGGTGGTTGTTCCTCATCTGTGGTTCATGTCAACCAGTTTTATGTCAATGGCGTTTTGGTTTCTATCTAGTAGCAGTGTGTGTTTTTACATGGGAACTGAGGGATATTCAAAACTATACTACCACCTCTGTCATCTTCCTGGAATCTCGTCCCCCGATTTTTGGATTGTTGGCTACATCTTTATACCTCTACATCCTCTTCATTTGTTTGAATGAATACCACTGGTATCTTTCCCACTCCCCCAATTTAGGAGGAAAGATAAGTTGCTTCCTCCCCACTCCATTAGGAAGGCATTGCACCAACACAGTTCAAGCATGGGTAATTTTTTTAGGAACACCTCAGACATCACCAAAAGATACTCTCCTGGGGATAGCTGATTACATACAGCCAATTAAGTATAAAGAATAGGAATGGAGGAATATTTGGGAGATATGTTGAGCATACTGTAAAGATCAGGAGACAGGAAACTTATTGATGAGGGGAAACCTAAAGCTCACAGTTGCTCCTGGTTTATAAATCCACATTTACCCAGCTACTTCCAGCCTCTACTTTAATTTGTTACAATAGAAGTAACGTCCCCTAGCAGGAGGGGAAGAATGAAGGAGGGGAAATCGGAGGGGGGAGACGAACCATGAGAGACTCTGGACTCTGAGAAACAAACTGAGGGTTCTAGAGGGGAGGGGGGTGGGGGGATGGGTTAGCCTGGTGATGGGTATTAAAGAGGGCATGTTCTGCATGGAGCACTGGGTGTTATACACAAGTAATGAATCATGGAACACTACATCAAAAACTAATGATGTAATGTATGGTGATTAATGTAACAATAAAAAATTAAAAAAGAAAAGAAGTAACGTCCCTGTACATTAAGCATATGTAGAAATCACCATAACCCACAGAACTGATGCAGCTATCTGTAAAATGATGGAGAATTTCTTCAAGCGTTTGAGTCCACTGCTGTCAGGAAATGAGAGATTTCACATAAATGAATTCATTCTCCACCACTACCTCCCTGGTCTAAAATTTTCATAAATCCCGTAACTGTTCTGCCTGCATCCATTCTGTACTCCTTCCATTACTTATTGCTTACAGTAGAGAAGAGTATTTTTTTTCCCCAGAACCTAATCAAGTTATTCCACCTTGCCTAAAACCTTTCCATGGCTTCTACTGCTCTTAGGATTAAAACAAAACAAAACAACAACAACAAAAACCCATAAAACTTCTTAGCCAAACCCTGTGCTATCTGGCTTCCACTTGCCCTCTGGCCTCATCTCAGACCATTCCCTGACCAGTCTCTGACTGGAAGGTCACACTGGCCTTTGGTCAAGTTCTTTGCCCTTACCATGCATCTTCCCAGCTCAGGGCCTTTGCACATGCAGCTCCACCTGATCTTCCTTTTGATTTCCACTCCACTGTCAGTATTTCAGGACAGTCTTCTCTGACCTCTCCTACTATATATCCCCATATGATAGGAAGTCACGGTACCATGAACCTCTCCTCTGTAACATTGTCACCCTTGCATTTTAACTTTTGTGTAATTCTCTGATTAATGTTCTTCTCCCCTAATTCATTGTACAATCTGTGAGAGTGAGGATTATAACCTGTAGCAGCTCAGCTGAGTTCTTTGCACTCAGTGGGGTTTTGGTAAATTCAGATTGAAAGATAATGCAAGGTTTTCTGAAAACTTAAAAGTTATTACTTTAAATATCATAATTATTATAAATTTATTTTGTATTAAAGCCTATGTAAAAATCATAATTTGATTTTTTACTGATTCTTCTCTTATTAAATTCAGTTATTGGGGCGCCTGGGTGGCTCAGTCGTTAAGCATCTGCCTTAGGCTCAGGTCATGATTCCAGCGTCCTGGGATCGAGCCCCTCATGGGGCTCCCTGCTCCGCGTCGGGCTCCCTGCTCCGCGGGAAGCCTGCTTCTCCCTCTCCCGCTCCCCCTGCTTGTGTTCCTGCTCTCGCTATCTCTCTCTCTGTCAAATAATAAATAAAATCTTTTAAAAAAAAATTCAGTTATTATACTCTAGCAAAAAAAAAAAAAGCCTTAGAAATACTGAGATAGGATCCTGTGTCAACAGTAACATCCTCTGATTGCTTGACTTTTTTCCTCCCGTTTTCCCTTTAGACCTCTAAGTTGTTGTTAGCAGGAGAATGGAAAATCAGATGTTTATTATTTGTTAGAACTGTGTACAAAATAAGTGTACTCTGACCCTCAATAATAATTACATAAGACACTATAAGGGGAGCCACAAACTGTTATGCACAGCTCACATTGCTTAGAGATATTGCTTAATCCATAGTTTTCAGTAATATTCTGGATTGTTGAGATCACCAGATAAAACCATAAATAAGACTAATAAAGCTATGTGATGTCTTGCTATATGTGGGTGATGTCCTACAAAAAATACCCAGATCAACTTAGTTTTACCACTATTCTGTTTTACAGGGGGGAAAAAAAAGATAGGTGTCTTTTTTAAATCATAAACTGCATATATTTATTGTTTTGTGATAGTGTAATTGGGAATTAAACCTAATTCTTATGAAAAAGAAAACTTGCACACAAAGACCCCCCCCGCAGAAAAAAAACCCCACCTCATAATACTAAAAAAGAAAAAGAAAAAGAAAAAGTCTTTGCCAAGTGAAAGAATCCTATAATGGTCAAGTTCTAAATGATCGGGCTTACTTTTTCTCTTTAGTAATTGGGAATTCATTGAAATTATGCAAAACATTAGAAATCCTCACAGTTTCTATATCTTTTCCCCCAATGCATATAAAATAAAGTAGGATCTTAAAGAAAACGGATTTAAGAATCTACTACTTAATTTAAATGACATAGGAAAACTGAAAGGGAGAACTGAAAGTGGGAAATTCCATTCAAAGAGAGGACAATCCTGTATATATAGGCCACACTCATGGAAGAAGGGCATTCACACTGCAAACTCTTGAAGCCTTGGCTTCAGCACCTAGACAGTGGCAGGCAAGATTCTTGCTCTTTTCATCATGACCAGCAGGTGCATCCTCCAAACCGCACTCCTGGTGTATTTCTGCACCACGGTTCTTGCCATGAACTACGACTTGCTTCAATTCCAACTAAGCAGCAGCAGTGTGGAGTGCCAGGAGCTCCTTCTGCAGTTGAATGGAACTTCTAAAGGTTGCCTCAAGGACAGAATGAACTTCAAGATCCCTGAGGAAATCAAGAAATCCCAACAGTTCCAGAAGGAGGACATCATATGGATCACCCTTGAGATGTTCGGGAAGACCTCTGATATTTTCAGGAGAAATCTCTCGAGCACAGGATGGAATGAGACCATTGTTGAGGACCTCCTTGCGACACTCCACAGGCAGAAGGAACATCTGGAGGGCATCATGGAGGAGGGAAACTTCACCTGGGACCACAGGACCCTTCTGCACCTGAAGAGATACTATCTAAGGATTGTGCAGTACCTGAAGGCCAAGAAGTACAGCACCTGTGCATGGACAATAGTGCAAGCAGAAATCCTCAGGGGCTTTTTCTTCCTTGATAAACTGACGGGTTATCTCTTAAACTGAAGATCTCTCAGCCTGTGGCCTCTGGGAATGGACAATGTTGACAAGGATCTCAGGCATTCTTCAACTCGCAGAGGCTCTGTAAGTGACTGACAGCCAATGTACTGTATTTGAAAGGACAAAGACTTTAAATTTTTTAAATTAATTTATGCATTAAGTTATTTTTCTACTTAAACTTTCACCCAAGGAAATAAATTTTTTTTATGCAACAAAAGTCAACATAGCAGTTTTAATTTCAAGTTGATTTCATTAGCACCATATTAAAAATTACAGAGCACCTACTAGATGTTCTTTGTAAAATGTGTCTGCAAAATTGTGTAGGTTCTGGCCTTTGCCTTCAAGGAATTTAAAATCCAAAGAAGCCGTGTGGAATATATAAGATGATAGATGATAAGGGAAGGTGAACCTTTCAGGGGAATAAATGTGACCTCAGCCTCTTCAGAATTAAAATGGAAGAGGCAGGCAGGTGGCTCTGGAATTAGGACAAGGGGTTCTACTGCTTCGACTCTGCTCCTACCCTGTGCCCTCAGGCTCTCTGACCCTAAAGTTAGCATTTGACTGGCTATCAGGGCAACTAGAGGAATATTTCAGCCCTTGTATTTGCCCTGAACTCCTTCCTGTTATTTGCAGGATGCTCTGCTTGCCCCTCTCCCCAACCCTGCAGGATTTAAAATATTCATGTGCCCCCCTAAGCTAAAGGTGAGAAGTCCCAGGCACGCCTGTGACAGTGTTAAGGAGCAGTCCCTCTATTGTACTCTTCCTGGACAGCTAAAATGTATGGGTGTCTCCGTGGAGTTGGGGGTCTCTGTCTGCTTCCAGGGCACAAACACCATAGGGAGAAAGAACTCTGCTTCCGATCTCTGCTCTCTGGCCAGGTTTTCTCCCCATTTTGTCAGAAAAGCAAGTTTGCTCCTGGTCTCTGCTGTCCTGTTCATCCGGAATTCCATTACCTGCTTTTCCTGATGCTCTGCATCTCTGAACCACACACCCCCCTAAAGCCAAATCCAAGATGTGCGTGGCAGATTGAGTCGTTTCTGTCAAGTGGAAAACCAGGAAGCATGGGGGAAAGGGAAACTGAGGTGGGATAAAGAGCACACTAACTTTTCTCAGGGCTTACACTGAGAAAATACAATTTTCCTAGGAGCTCTCTGGGCACCTGGCCAGCATGTGCCCATGGGCCGGGTTTCTGTCTTTGTACCGAACCCCTTGGGAATTCCGATGAGTATGGCTGTTGCGGTCATTAGCAGCTACCCTCCAGGAGCTGCACCCCTGTATGTAAGTAATTGGAAATAAGTCCCCCTCACAAGCACCCCTCAGGTGGGCACAATTACATTATTGCTGTTTTACAGTTCCAGAGACTAAGTCTCAGGTTTAGGAACTGCCCCAAGGTCACCATAGCTAAATGCATGGAGGTTTTCAAAAAAGTACAAAGGGCAGAATCATATAAGACTTTGTTCATATCTAAGCATTTTTTCCTAGAGCAGTACAGAAGTCTGAGTTCCCTTTAAGGGATTCAGCCTTGAGGAGAAGAAACCGGTCAGGAGTTTCAGGGAAGCTACCACAGTTCAGGGCCGACAACGAACTTGGGCTCCCTCTTCTGACTCAAGGCCGGTAACACACGGGCTGTGGAACCAAGAAGTGCTATCTATATTCCCTCGTGAATCTGCGGGCTACATTTGTCCCAAGAGAGTTGAGGTCCTGGTGAAGCAAGAAACCTTCCCTCTCCCCAAAACTCACACTCCACTTCGCCACACCCCAGCTCTGCTAAAAGCCTTCCACAGACGTGCTTCCTTTTGCCAGGGACTCAAAGACAAGATGGGCACGGAAAAATGCAGACTAATGGGTTGGGGTTAGAACAACCACGAAGTCTCCCTCAGCAGTGGGCCCCAACTGCTCATCGTCTTCTCTAGGCTGAGGATACTAAAGAAGTCTCAACAAGAGGCTCTTCTCTACTCACCGCTAAGTTGGCCCAGACACCAAGAGGCTGGAAAGGTCTGCTCAGCATGTGTCCTGGGGGCCAGGAGGCCAGAAGGCCAGAGGAAGGACTTCTTTTGGAGAATTATAAACACCTATGCCACAGCTGAGTATGTCAGCCCATCTACAATACCAAGTACGTCCATCACCAGGAGAGCATAAATGATAATTAATATTAATTCCAATAAGGATGAGGAAGGCTAGCTCAAAAACACAAGTGTGAGTAGGGACCTCTGCTAAACAGACAGCGACATATAAGGAGTAAAGTTGTTATTTTAGCTGGCATCAGAACACCTCAAAGGAGAGCACTCATTTAGAGAAATATTGATGAGCCTCTTGAGGTTGTGGATATGCTAACACAAGAGGTAGTGCACTGCCAATGCTATGTTTTTGTGTGTGTCTGTTTCTGAGGAGGAAAAAAGAGAGAAGCCCATCAGCTGCTCTGGAGCTGTGATGGTCCCTGGAATAAGATGGCAGTGAAAATTTTCTGGCGAGGGCAAATAAAGGGCTTTTAAGGACGAGCATGTCTCACGTGCAACTTGAAATTAGGTGCAGTATTATGATGAAACCGTGTCCCCCAAACCCTCAGTGGAGATGGCTACCCACACAAAGTTCCCATGTGTGTAGAACTCGTAGAGGGCGTCCGGGTCCGTGTTTGTAATAGTGTGGGGGAATGGGATCGTGTGGCCAGGCATCCGTACCAGAACCAAATGAGTGGGGACAGAAGGCGGAGCCATGACATGCAGCCACTTTGCCCCCTCCTACCTCCCACCTGAGGAATCCAAGGAATTCTGAGGGACTCTGTGCCTCCACAGGGATTAGGAGGTGGGAAGTTTTATCTCGCTCTTAAGCAGTTAGAAGGTCCTGGCAAACATTTGGGTTACATATGAGTACATAAACACTGCCCCACCCTATGCTTCTGTAGACACAGGGTAACCACGTATATTTGTGTGGTATTTTTTGCAGTTAACAAAGCTGATATTTGGGCAGTTTGGGGGTCAGTAGGCACATTTAGGTACTCAGATACATCTGATGCAGGGATTTGTTCATAAAATACTTCTTAAAAAATGAAAAGAGGGGCACCTGGGTGGCTCAGGCGTTAAGCGTCCACCTTCAGCTCAGGTCGTGATCCCAGGGTACTGGGATCGAGCCCCACATCAGGCTCCCTGCTCCGCGGGAGGCCTGCTTCTCCCTCTCCCACTCCACCTGCTTGTGTTCCCTCTCTCGCTGTGTCTCTCTCTGTCAAATAAATAAATAAAATCTTTAGTCGTTGAGCATCTGCCTTCGGCTCAGGTCATGATCCCAGGGTCCTGGGATTGAGCCCCGCATCGGGC